ATGGACTGCTAAAAGAACTAACAGATCTGTCCTGGAGGAAGTGCAGCCAGAATGCTCCTCAGAAGCAAGAATGGCCAGACTTCGTCTCACCTATTTTGGTCATGTTGTAAGAAGGGACGATTCCCTGGGGAAGAATGTCATGCTTGGTAGGGTGGAAGGTTGACGAAAGAGGGGAAGGCCTTCAACATGATGGATTGACGCGGTGGCTGCGTTGATGGGCTCAAGTATAGCAGGGATTGTGGGGCTGGCACGGGATTGGGCAGTGTTTCGTTCTGCTGTGTATGGGGTCACTATGAGTCGGAAATGACTCGACGGCACTTAACAACAACAACAACAAATTAAGGAATGCCCCCAGGATCAACACATATGAAAGGGAAGGGAAAGTGCCAGGATTGGACAAAGGTAGATGTTGAGCTGTGACTTAGTCTTGATGGAAAACTCAGTCCACCCTACAGGAAGCTCTGAAACAGGGCTGTCCCTTCAGAGTTGGTCCCATGGGGTGTGTGTGGGGGAATTATTCTTTGGATTCCTAGTCCCTCATTTCCAGAGTTATTTCAATCATCCCAAAAAGGAAGAAAAGCTTAAATAAATAATAATAATAAGATCAGGGACAGGATGTAGAAAATAATGCACCTTGGTATCAGACAAATCTTGGATCAAATCCTGAAACTTCTTCTTAGTAGTTGTTTAACTCTAGACAAGTTATTGAACTCTGACTTTCAATTGTCTTTGTTGGAAAATGGCAATAAGAATATGTAGCTTGTAAGGCTGTTTTGAAAGTCAAATACAATCATATATACAAAGTATCTTACGTATAGATCTGACACAGAACATGTGCGCAATAAACGGAAATTACCATAAGAATTGGGTTAATTATTGTGCCGTAGTGTGCCTGGTTTCCTCATTCGTAAGGTGGAGTGAATTAGAGTGAAGAAGGCCAGCTGTCAGGGTTATATGGAATTATATCTTTTGTATAGCCTAGTACACAATAGCCACTCAGTTAGCATTTATTCCAATTAACAAATGTTTATTTAAAAGGATTTATACAGACACGACACATTTACTTTCAAAGAGCAGAAGAATCTTTTATATTGTGAACACACAGACACTGTAGCAATTTAAAACTACAGTTAAGGATGGAAGGGAAAAAAAAATCCACCTCCCTCCCATTAGGGACTATGGGATAAAACTTCTCAATCAGCCAGGCTGAGTTCCTGCCCCTTTAGTCTGATAGTGACTTGACTAGAAACCTGGATTTGATAGAAAGTAGAGATGTGAAGCTTGGAAAACTCAGTGCCTTTTCTTTTTTTTTTTCTTTTTTTTTTTGGAGGGGCAGGGGGTACAAGAGCAGACCACCTGTACAATCCACAGAAAAGGGGTGGCCAGCAGATGTCCTAAACTGAGGCTTCCTTATAGAAATGGAATGAATAGAGAGGAAGCCCCACTCATGTGCTTATGTGGGCACTCATTTGATTGGCACTCACTTGAATCCCAGCCCACTCTTCTTCTCCCTAAGATATACCACTAGACAGGTGTCAGAGAAATGGTTTTAACAAAAGCTAACATAGATATCAACCTGGGGCCCATCTCAGACTAAGGCATCCCTTAAAGCAAAGCCTTAAGCCCCAGTGACTGCTGACTTAGTCAGG